GGGCCGCTCTCCCCTCTAGAGGCCTGACTTCTCCTCCAGACTTTTGCCGGTGCTGGACCCCTCCCCCGTCTAGGGGACTATCCCATCCCCCCACCTCTGAGCTTTCGCCGGTGCTGTCCCCCAGGGACCTGTCCCCTTCCCCCACCTCCGGCCCGTGCTAGGCTCCTCCCCTCCTTCTAAGGGCCTGTCCCCTCCTCCCATCGCACCTTTATAGAAGGGCTGGCCAGATAGGAAGTCCTGGCTGGCAAAGCCGGGCCCGCGGGGACACAGGCTGGCGAACTCGGGGGACTCGGGCTCCGGGCAGGCCTCGCACGTGGCTCCCCACGCGGCACCCACGGAGCAGCAGCAGACGTCCATCCTGGACTTGCCGGGCAGGGGGTCCCCACACTCGTCCTCATCCCAGCGCAGGAAACAAGGCTCCAATCTTGCGTCTGCCCAGAGGGAAGGTCTCCGGGTCCCATCCTGCCACACTGAGTCTCCTCTCCCTAGCTCGGGTCTGAAACTTTCTCCCCAGGGGGTGGGTGGAAGGGAGTGATGTCCTCAAGCTGAGACTTGAGCAGGGCCTCAGTAAGCTCTTTGATCCACTGAATACCCAAAACGATGCCAACAGGAAGCACTATTTTCTCACTTTAAAAAATAAAGTCTTCTGGCAGGGCTCGGTGGCTCACACCTATAATCCCAGAACTTTGGGAAGCCGAGGTGACAGGATGGCCTGAGCCCGCGGGTTCAAGACCAGTCTGGGCAACTTGGCGAGACCTCATCTCTATAATAAATAAATTTTAAAAAATCACCCGGGCATGGTGGCGCATGCCTGTAGTTCCAGATACTTGTAAGACAGGCGGAAGGATCGCCCTGGGCCCAGTGGTCGAGGTTGCGGTCGCTGGGAGCATGCCACTGCCCTCCAGCCTGGGTGACAGAGTGAGACTCCAACTCAAAAGAAAAAAAAAGTCTTATTTTTTCACTCAGGCTGGAATGCAGTGGCATGATCATGGCTCATCACAGCCTTAACTTCCTGGGCTCAAGTGATCCTCCCACCTCAGCCTCCTGAATAGCTGGGGCTGCTTTTCTCTCTTCCTTTTTTTTTTTTTTTTGGGAGTTGGAGTCTCACTCTGTCCCTCAAGGCTAGAGTGCAGTGGCACGCTCAAAGCCATCGCAGGCTCAACCTGCTGGGCTCAGGAGAGCCTTCCACTTCAGCCTTCCAAGTAGCTGGAACCATAGGTGCGTGCCACCATGCCCGGATAATTTTTCTTTATTTATTATAGAGACGAGGTCTCACCAAGTTGCCCGAACTGGTCTCGAACCCAAGGACTCAGGCAGTCCTCTTGCCTCCGGCTCCCAAAGTGCTGGGATTACAAGCGTGAGCCACCACACCTGGCTTTGTTTGTTAAGATGGGGAGTCTTGCAGGTTGGTCCAACCTCCAGTCATCCTTTGGCCTCGGCCTCCCAAATCGCTGGGATTAGAGGTATGAGCCACCAGTCTGGCTCACATTGTAGACATTATAAGATTTCACTATTTGCAATCCTCCTAAATGGGGCAGTTAAACAGTCAAACAGGGAACAATGAAGGGAATGGATCACAAAGATGAATGTCTTTCAAGACCCATCAGTAAAGGTGGAAGGGCCCAGAGGCTGTCCTCACTCCCTCCAGGGACTCACCCACACACAGGCGGCCGGTGGCATCCAGCATCAGACCCTCAGGACACTCGCAGTGAAAGGAGCCAGCGGTGTTGACACAATGCCCGTTGGGACAGACCCCAGGAAAGGATTGACACTCGTTCACATCTGGGCAGCAGAAGGTCAGGAGATGGGAGGGGTGGGTGCTGGTTGGCCCCTCCCTTGGGGTCCCAGAAAGCCCAGGCTGTCCTTGGGGAGGCAGGAGGAACTGAGGGTGGGGGGACCAGGGAGTCTCTGGAAGACCCAGGTACTGGGGAGAGGGTGTCTGTCCCCATCTGAAAGCCTCCAGGGAGGGCCCGAGACAGCACAGAGACCTGCATCTGTGAGGGCCCCTCACATGGGGGTGGCTGGTGGTGGACAGGGAATTACCTTCGCAGACGAGACCCGTCATGCGGGCAAAGCCATGGGCACAGGCGGGGTCTGCGGTTGGGACAGTGCAGAGAGGTGTCATCACCCCAGCCAGCTCCCCTCCCCCAGCACTCCCATGGGTCTGGGGGTCCGAGGAGGGCATTACCCGTCTCACAGGGCTCACAGGGGCTCCCCCAGGCAGCCCCAAGGGTGGCACAGCACTCGGCCCGCAGGGTGGCAGCTCCCTGGAGGTTCACCTCGCAGCGGTTGTCCTGGATTCTCAGCCAGCAGGTGCCCCTGGTGACGTCTGCAGGGAGGGAAGGGTCACCAATCTCACCCGCCAGGCCCACACCCGCACCCCCACCTGAAGGCCACCCGCCCTCTGCAACTCCGTGGGGATCGGGCTGCTCACCTAGGCACACGGTACCGGAGGGCCCCAGTCGGCTGCCGGGGCCACACTCGCACGTGTAGGAGCCCGCCAGGTTCCGGCACACACCATTCACACACGGGCTGGACAGGCATTCATCAATGTCTGTGGGGACAGCCCCCACCGGGCCCTGAGCTGCAGGAGGGGAGTCCCACCTGGCCAGAACCCCCTCCTCCCCACAGGGCTGTTGCCCCAGCACCATGGGGTGTACCTAGGAGCGGGTGTGTGGAAACTGGTGAACCGTGTGTGCACGCACCAGAAGACAAACTTTACCTTCAACACAGCAGAAGGAGGAGGGATCTGGAGGCACTCCTAAAGCCCTCCTGTTCCTAGGAAAGGTCTCAGCCCTTTGGGCTCAAGCGATCCTCTCTCCTCAGCCTCCTGGGTAGCTGGGACTGCCTTTTTTAAAAATTAGAGTTGAGCCAGGCTCGGTGGCTCAGGCTGTAATCCCGTGCCTATGGGAGGCTGAGGTGAGTGGATTGCCTGAGCCTGTGGGTTCGAGACCCACCTGGGCAACTTTGCGAGACCTCATCTCTACAATAAATAAAAAATTA